AAAGCTCCTCACATTTACAAGGGCAGACCCTGCTCTACTGATCCCACCAAACACTGCACACTCTTGAGTCAGAAGTCACCCAAGAAAGAAGACTGTTGGATTACTTCCGCTTTGCAAATGAACAAGGAAATGAATGGCATCATATGGGAAATTCTGTGTGCAGGGAAGGAGCCTAATTCAGGCAATCTGAAGACCAGAAGGTAAAATTGGGCCATATCTTGAGTTCTAATCCGCATTGTAACTGAAAAATTCCACCTCTGATACAAGTCATATGGCCTCATCGGTGTGAAAGGAGTGAGTGGAGTTTGAACAAGGCAAACAAAGATGACTAGGAAGCCTCATCTGTAGAACGCATGCTTATCATCAATCAAAAACTCCAGAGTCTAAGGTGAACTTGCATATGAGAATGCTCCCCATACTTTGCCATGCTCCATGGTCAAGGGTTCTTAAAATGTCCACAAGCTATAAGGCCACTTTAGGATGGATCCGTCACCCCTATACACACCCTTCCAATGAATGTATCTTCTAAGATCACTTCAGAAGGCACCCCCTTTGCTTAAGTTTCACAGCACAACTAAGGACATTTCTTCACCTCAGTGAAAGACTCAGAGCCCTCTCATGTCTCCCTCACGAAGTCCTGTCTTCCACATTGTACAAGGGAGTCAAGACTGAGGTACATGGGCCCCTATTTCATTTCTGTTGCTGTGATAAAACACCCTGACCAAAAGCACTCAGGAATGAAAGTTTGCTTTGGCTTACAGATCCGGGGATTCATCCCCTATTGTGGGAAATCAATGCAGGAACTTGATTTCTACAGTTCACCTACAGTCAAGAACAGACAGAGAATAAACACAGATATCCTTCTTGCTTGATCTCTTGCTTACAGCTGGCTTTCAACTTCACATATACATTCTAGATGCTTAGCCCAGGGAGTGACACCACTCACAATGGGTTGGAGCTTACTGCATTCACTAACAATTAAGATAACTTCACAGACATACCTTAACCTGATTTAAATCATTCCTCAATAAGACTATTTGAAAGTCAATGAATTGAACCGGAAACAAATTATACTGAGTAAGGTCACCCCACCTCCAAAAGGACAAATACGACATTTTTCCCTCCTATGTGGGTCCTAGCTTTGACTATTTTGCTTTGTGTGCTTATCTTGGAGTCCATTTGGGACCCAAGAAACTAGAAACACAACCTTGAGTTTGGAGAAGATTGTACAAAGGACAGAAAAGAGCAGAATACTGGTAACACCAAAGTGGAGAACAGAAATCATGGTGTCAGTAGAGCTCAAGCATCTTGTGGAATAATGGGAATGGGAAAAGGAGGAATTGTTGTAAGGGTTAACCAGAAAGATGCTACATGAGGACCGATGACCTTAGACCCCGAGAACAATAAGTAAAAGGAGGTGGTGGAAGACATGATATGAGAGAATGTGAGGGGCAGACTGTGGGTGGAGAAGTGAAGTGAGAATAGGGGAAGGGAGTGGACAGACAGGATGTGGACAGCTAAGGAAAACTCGGGGTGTATGAAGAAGCTTTGTGAAATGCACTAGATGATAAACGAGGCACCACAAGGACATGTGCTCAACCACGCTCATAGCGTACATGCAATTTTCAATGTTTCGTTCATCCTATGTACATTGGTGTTTTGCCTGCAGGTTTGTCTGTGTTATCCTATATTCTTTGGAGTTTTGCCTCCATGTATGTCTGTGTAAATAGACAGCATAAGGAAGACTGTGTTCCCAGGCATCCACAGGGATGTCCCAAGCTAGGTCCTTGGGCAGTAGAGAAGAGGGTGCCTGAACTGGCCTTGTCCCTTAGTCGTACTGATGATTATCTTGAATATCAGCATAGAACCTTCTTCCAGCAATGGATGGAGACAGACAGAAATCCACATCGGAGCTGGACTGAGCTGCAAAGGTCTAGTTGAAGAGCAGAAGGAGGGAGAAGATGAGCAAGGAAGTCAGGACTGCGAAGGGTTGGTCCACCCACTGAAACAGTGTGCCTGATCTAATGGGAGCTCACCAAAGCCAGCTGGACTGTGATCAAACTGGACTCTCTGAATGTGTCTCACAATGGAGGCTTACTGAGAAGCCAATGATAATGGCACTGGGATTTGTCTCTACTGCATGTATTGGATGTTTGAGATCCTAGCCTGTTTGGATGCACACCTTCTTAGGTGTGGATAGAGGGTGGAGGGCCTTGGACTTCCCACAGTGCTGTCTCTTAGGACTGAAGGTGAAGGAAGGAGGGTGAGTGCAGTAGAGGGAGAGAAATGGGAGGATGGGAGGAAGTGGAAAGTTTGAATGGTATTATTTATAAAGCAATAGAAATAAAAAATAAAAAAAATAAAGTAGTAGTGGTAACTACATCTGTGTGAATGCATCAGATGCCTTGGAACTGGAGTTACAGGCAGGTGTGAGCTGCCATGTGGTGCTAGGAATTGAACACTTGTCTCCTGGAAAAAACAGACAGTGCTCTTAACGACTAAGCCATCTCTTAAGCCCCCATACACGCTATTTTTAACAAGGATACTGCTTGTGGGTGAACAATGTTAATCCCTGAAACCATAGATCATTCGTAAAAATCTCAGCCCTGCACACAGATTACCTCCTTATTGTCCAGCAGGCCTCAGAGGTGACCAAACTGTAAAGGCAATTGCCACTGCTATCAGTTGCCCAACAGAACAAGCCAATAGGCACCTGTGGCTGAGATACTATACACTTTTGTTACAGGTTGTAGGGAAGTCAGTCTTGAACTCACCTGGAAATCTCCCAGCTGGCTACTGTTCACAGTACCCAGAAGGTGTTATGATGGCTGTCATGAGGGAAAGGATGTAAGTGATCTTACCCATTGCTGGACCCAGAACGATACAATACTGGCTTGCAAGGCATGATGAGCCCACTCGTGTAATGACTGCAGTTCTGTTCCTGCACCTAACCAATTCTTGTCCTGATTGAATCTGAAGCCTGTTCCATATGAATAAGGGTATACCTCGTGCTTTAAACATTGTCAAAACGTACAATTAGTGAACTGATACTTCCTTCAAAATTCTGGGGGGAGGACTTACTGTCGTTCTGCTAAATGATCATGTTGTTAAACTGCCTTCTAAATATTCATGTTTGCTTGCCTAGGTCTCCACTGCTCTCAACACTGGTTTGAGAAGCTTCTAGTTGCAATGAGTAGTCATCAGTGCAGAGACACGTTATGTTTGGAAGGGCTGGCCTTGAGCAACAGTGAGTGCTCAGCCACAGATGGGGCATCTACATCCAGGAGTTGCAGGGAGAGACTGGAGGTGAGGATGAAGAAGAAATATCATACTGTGCAGGTGAAAATGACCATGAAATTTCAAAGAATACAAAAGAGTACTAAAAAGACATCTCCCTCTCAGGTGCTTGCAAGTCCTGTCAGGCTGACAGGTAAACCAACTACCACAGCCCACAAAATGCTAGCACCAGAAGAAATATAACCAATTACCAAACATTCCAGCAGACAGCTTCCCTTAACCTGCCTACAACACTGCTGTCACAAAGAGCTATAGTCCCGATTTGGGCATGTGAAGGGTGCACAGAAGCCTAACCTAAGTAGGTGTGAGGCCCAAAATGCACTTTTCTCATTTGTATGTCTGCTGTTTTATTAGAATGTGAGCATCAGGTCCCATGTGATCGTTAGCAGAGTAAAGGCCTGGTACCTGCGCTATTAATCCACATGCTCTCCTTGAGTCTCCATTTCTTGTTTTACTCACTCGTAGAACACTGTGAAGTCATTGTTCTGTATCAGAAAGACAGACATGTACAGACGCTTTCGTCATTATGTCTGCACTACCGTATCTCATACCTTAGAATCAGGGAGCAGATTTACATGCAGACATCTAGAGATGCTAACCTTGGGAACAAAGGCAGTGTTCACATTTAGGTGACCATATGCAACAGAAACGTCAATGGGTCAAGAACTCTACTTGCTTGACTCAGGTAGATCTAGGTACATTTTATCCAAAACCTACCTGTGTCTGTCCCAGAGAAATGGCATGCTTTGACAAGCCTTTCATCTCTTGCTTGAGAAAGGTAAAAGTCAGCCATACTTACTCATTGCCTGATGAGAGCTGCCCAGAAAACCTTTACAATGCTCCCTCCTCTCTTATGCTTCCATTCAAACCATGTTGTGTTACCCCTTACTGGCTGTTAAAGTTAAGACTGTGGAAGTTGTAATGCTAGCTCTTTGACATAAGCATCCCTAAAGCTCTCCCACGTCCCTCCACACAACTCCACTTTGCTTTTTGTTTTTTCAGGGAGAAAGCAAGAAGAGCATTGGAGCTAGTAGCCCGCCACTCTGTTCTTCAAGTTTATGTCTTTCCTAACCATAGTAGGTGGGGTTCAATTCTCCCTCCCTATTTGCAAGGTGAGGGAATTTCTGGAACCCCATTCCTCCTGGCTGGGCTTGGGAAAATATCTCTGTGGGTCCTGTCTCTGTCCTGCTGCACGGTAAAGCTATGTTTGTGTCAATACTTAAAATCCTGCTCTGCCTCAAAATCAATGCATCCTGGAATAAAACTGGACTTGCTGAACATAGCGGACAATGAGGACTACTGAGAACTCAAGAACAATGGCAATGGGTTTTTGATCCAACTGCACGTACTGGCTTTGGGGGAGCCTAGGCAGTTTGGATGCTCACCTTACTAAACCTGGACGGAGGTGGGCAGTCCTTGGACTTCCCACAGGTCAGGGAACCCTGATTGCTCTTCGAGCTGATGAGGGAGAGGGACTTGATTGGGGGAGGGGGAGGGAAATGGGAGGCGGTGGCGGGGAGGAGGCAGAAATCCTTAATAAATAAATAAATTTAAAAAAAATCAACAAAAAAAATCAATGCAGCCATGGAGAAGACTTTCATGAGTGTGTCTGGGAGGATTCTCTTGCCAACGTGGAGATGGAAATGAATGCCACAGAGTGGGCAATGAGTCAAATGGGGAAGCTGTGTGGCCATCGCTCCTACCTCTATAGCGTGAGGGTCCTGGAAGGCCTGGTCCTTCTTATTCTTCTTTGAATGAGGGTCATCTTGGTTGTCCTCCTCATTGTCATCTCTTTTCCTTTTCCTGAAAATAGTTTTCAGAGGGAGGGGAAAACCTGTTGTCATTCAGGATTGATCTTTTGGGTGCTTAACTTTCAGCCCTGTGCCAATACCCAAATCTGCGGCCTTGTCTAGGATTAGAACAATCAGAGCTGCTCAGATGGATTCAGAATCTGCAGGTAGATGGCACTAGGCAGTGGAGCAAACATGTCAAACAGGAATCCTAGGAATCCTAGGTGTGCCTGAAACCCAAGTTCAAGTTCCCTAAATCAGAATCTTAATTTGAACCACTGCTTGTGACCAAAAACATAAAGAATTTTATGGTCAAACATTAGCACTCTACCTGAGCAAGCTCATTTTCTTCATTCTCTGAAATAATCACTCCAAGTTAGATGATTTTAAGCCCTGCCATAGGGCAACTCAAGATATGTGAGCTTTCTTTGCCTATGGCTAGAAACAGACATGTCCTGTGTACTGTCAGATCATTCCTGTTGCTATAACATCAAGTATGATGTCACTGTAGCTAGTTGACTTGACTGCCACCATGACACTCTGGCTGATGACTTCCCTGAAACTGTCTAAAAGTGTTTTCATGCTTCATTTCCTTATATCTTCCCCCATGCCCTCTTTCCACAAATAATTAGTTTGTGATATTTGACAGTATTATTCTTGAATATTCTTCCTATGCTATTATAGAGATCATCTTGATCACTTATTATATTAAAGATAGTTGGTAGGATTTTAGACATATATTTGTCTGAGTTCACTTGTTTTTTGCCTACTTTTTAATGTTGCTTTACTGTCTGAGAGAATTCTTCATGATCAGATACCGTACTTACTTTAAACAGTTTTCAATCAAATTATCTACAAAAATGAAGCTGCATATTGCAAGCAGAGGGTATGCCCAGACAAAGAAGTGTTAACACACATACCTGGCTGGATCTATTGCCAGTGACTTTTGCAAATGTTTCCTGACTTATCTCCTTATAATAAGTTAAAGAGGAAAATTAATTGCATCAGGGCAATACCCAAGATATTGCACTTGACATTTAATGTATAGAATTTCTTTAATGGAGAAATAATTCTGAAAGTGAAAAAATGAAATATCACATGTCTAAATCAAATAATATCATCATGATACAGATACTATATGGATAAAGTTATTCAGGAGATTTGTATATAATGTTATTTTGTAAAAAGAAAAATACTTAGCCTGTGTGTCTTTCCTCAGGTGTTTGTGCAAAGCAGACCCATTTTACATAGTTTTAGCCACATGTCGAAATGAAAGAATTTTGAAATCTGTTAAATTCTCCAAGCGTAAGTTTTCCTGAGAAGTAATGATGTCCCCAATCCCCAAACACAAGAATATATTCCTAAATTAGTGTGTTGTTCAATATATTTTTAAGAAATTGAAATTACATTTATTTATTTTTCTGTGTGTCTGTGTGGAGATACATGTTATAGTTTATGTGTGGTGGCTGGAAGACAACTCTTTGTAGCTTCTTTTTTCCTGATTCCACAGGGAATCTGATTGAAAACACATCATTAGGCTGGTGCCAAGGTCATTTAGCCACTTTTATCATTCAATAATTTCATACGTGTATAGAATTTGTTTGGATCAATCCCATCAGAAAATTTCTGTTCTTCCCCTCCTGCCATATTTACCTACCAACTACATGTACTGTTTAACGTCCTCCTAAGACCTTGTAATGCTTCCTGTATGTGCAGGGCTTTAAGAATGTCTATTGGTGCATGGGTCACTTCTCAGGAGCCAAATCCCTTACAAAGCTGGGTTCTTCCCCAATAACCATCACTTGCTAAGAGATTTTTGTAAATTCATGAACTGATTCCTAATCCATGCTAAGCTTTTCCTGGTTTGATCTTGTGTTTGTGTTGTGTATGTGGGCACAACTGCCATGGAATTCATGTGGCAACAGTGCTATCATGTCCCGCAAATGGAATTTCCTGACAAACATCCACCACTCCTGACTTTTACAATTGTTCCTTCCCTTCCTCCCTGATGGTCCCTGAGACTTGGAATGGACAGATTCATGCTTTAGATGACCCGTTCTGCGGGTTTGGGGGCATCCAAGTAACATTGACCATTAGAGGTTCTGATAATAATTGCCATCTACTTCAAACGGTGACTTTCCTGTGACTGTTGAGAGAAGAAGTGTTAGGGGGAAGTTTAATATTGTTTCCATTAAACAGAATAATAGAATAAAGAATTAAAATTCTTTTTAATGCTTAATAATCCGGAGACTCTTGGCTGCCAACACTTTTGCTGGAGACTTATTCCTTAAGGATTTAAAGCCCAGTATCTGTGGGACATTTGAGCCTTTTCAATCCCTGATTTCCATCAGCAGGGTGGAGCAGAAGTAGGGAACACTCCCAAGTTTTACGTTTCTTCCTTAGAATGCTCAGGTCCTTGATCCTAACATCCAGGTTCTAGGGTCTACAGTGTTGGGACCCTTGTCCCCCGACAGGGGCTATTGTCACAAGTGCAAGACCTAGAATGCCAAGACCTTTGGCCCCTCCAGACTCCTCAAACACTTACAGGGAGGTAGATTCCACCATTTTCCATCCCTGGATCCTCACTGTCTTCTGTCTTTCTTCAGCACCAGTGCTCTGCCTCCTCTGACTTTCTGTGGTTCCTTGTCTCATCCTCTCCTCCTGTTCCCCATCATTTCTGCCTCAGCCTGTGTGGTCCAAGAACTCTTCCACTGCCCCTTGCTGTCACTGGTGCTACAACAAGGGCTGCTGCCTCTGAAGGGACAGCAGATGCTGCTCCATGAGCTGCTGTCTCAGGTGCCATCTCCTCTTTAAACTACCAGCTTAGCCCAGGGTGTCACGAAAAAAACAAAACCCTAGACCCCAAACTGGCAAGAACAGACCACAAGGGATGTTCTTCTAATGGACCTAACATTACAACAGCAGAGGGCAAGCTGACCCAGAAAGAGAAGCAAGCTGCCAGCTCATACAGCAGGAATGGGGGTGCAGCAAATGTCTTTGCATCAGTGACTTCACAACCCTTCATGCTAATGGAATGTTGTGAACTGCACCAACAGCAGCCATCCCGCTGGACCACCAGGGCAAGTGTTGCCCTCTGACCTGGGTAAAATGGCTGTAGAGCCTTCTTAGGTATATACCCCGGGATGCAATGCCAAAATGCAAAACCTGACAAAAACCTCTTAAAGCTATTTGCAAATACCCTGGCAGGTAGAGCACCTTCTGGAACTGGGGCTGGCGTACATATGTTTCTGCATTGCAGGCTGCTCACGGCATCTGTGCACTGTTTCAAGCCAGCAGGGTACAACCAAGGCATTTTAGTAGGCTTCTAAAAGGGAATGGCGTAAGGCTGACAGGCACAAGCAGACAGACGGCCTGTAACAGAGTCTGGTCTTGAGTGTCTGAATCACATATAGAGAACATTCAAAGGAGATTTACAGTAGAGGTAAGGAATCGCACTAACAGTTCCAACATTTAAGAACACTTAAAATTATTGAACATTGATAAATGGGGCTTAATATCCCAGGGCTGGAGGAAGAGGCAGGTCCCTGTAATCTGTCACAGAAGGACAAGCACTACTTGGCATTTTAAACACAATTCTCTTAAAGTAATTGGTGTGGGATGGTAGCACAAAAGGGCAGACATTTTAACAGAAGACAATAAGTGGGGTAAAGTAGGTCTAAAAGTGATCCGAGGTGTGAAAGGACATCTAAAGAGCAATGGGAAATTCAGTAACCACTGTGTCTCCTTACTGATCTGTTTTTCCCCATTAGATAACAGATTAATGCAAGCAGAGAGGTGCTGTAGAAATCAGGCAGGGATGATTTTGTTCTATGGCACTGGACAAGGCTTTAGACCACACCAAAACTTCCCAGAAGGCAGGGTGACAATGAAGGCTTAGTGCACATATAAAGATTCACACTGAAGCCAGGTATGCTGGTACACCCAGCACCCAGGAGACAGAGGCAGGTAGATTTCTGTGAGTTTGAGGCCAGCATGATCTACAGAGCGAGTTTCAGGACAGCCAAAGCTACATAATGAGACCCTGTCTCAAAACAACAAATACTCAGAAATAAAACAAGCAAACAAACATTCTCTTAAACATTCAAACTGAAATCCTAAAGATCACCCACTTTAACAGTGAGACTTTTGAGATTCAGATGGCTTGTGGGTGGGTCTGGCAGTAGGTTTCATGACCACAGAAGAAAGGCCTTAAAGTCATTGTGAGTGCCCTCTCAAGCTGTGGCAGGGAGTGTGACAGGGGAAGGTTTAGGGCAAGGTGTCAGTATATCCTTTTGAAGCACTCCCTAAGTCCGGAGGTTCCTAAAAGGTCCCAGAGGACAGAGTCCTTAGTCTTCATTGCAAGCAAGGAGGAGGTGGGAAGGCCTGCCATGGGACACACAGGCAGGGAAGAAAAGGCCTATTATCAGGGAGCTGGTGTGGATAGGGTGACCTCCTGTGTACCTGAGACCTGTAGAGGCCCCTGAGGAGCAAAGGGTCCCTCTGCCTCTCAGCTTCTTACCTCTGCCTTGGACATTCCAGAAAGTTCAACAGAAGACACCAACTAGTAAATGCAGGATTGGGGGTATGAGACCCAATCGACCACTTTTGGAAGCAAATGAATCTAGTTAGTGGTGGTGACATCATATACCCAACTAGAGCTTTCACCCTCTCTGCTGGCATTTTCCTAAAGGGCTGCCTGATATGGAATCTATCTGCCAAAGCAAGCTTTAATATTGAACTCAGAGGCATTTTCTTTTGGAAGGCCAGACACGAACTTTCACAAATGATGGGTTTTCAGATGCTACTCAATGGTCAGTGATGGGACTTTTACCACGTGCCTTAAATTGACATCTGTGTCTATTTCAACAGGAAGTAAACATGTCTGCATGTGCTTTGACTGGGAAGTTTGCATAGCCATAAATTCTCTCTGAAATATTTTGAGTACATTTTCACAGTTTATGGACAAACATACTAGTGTTTTAAACAGGCAAAGAAAGGTGTTCTGTCAGGCACTTCTTTCTGTCCGCAACTTTGTACTCTCAATGTAGTACATGAATGTCAAGGCAAGGACTGACTCCAAGGTCAAGGCCAAAAAGATGATCAAATAACTGTATACCAGCTTGTACCAAAGACCGTGAGTGTCTTGCTGTTTACAGCACTGTGCTTTCAAATGTTGGGATTTTATGTGCGCACTTATAAAGACTTCTCCTATGCTAGGAAGTTTCAGTGGAGTCAACTGAAGGAAACAGTTGTCTTGGAGGGTTCCGTTTTGGCATTACAGGAATGTGCATGTTTATCTGTTTTCCAGACATGTGTCCTTAAACTAGCTAGCAAGCTTGCAATGCTACCTCTGAGCACAGGTGAAAATGGTTTCCAAAATTCTCATGGACTAATGTTTGCAGTAAACTCTCTCTGGAAAGAGTCACAGTAATAAGAACAAATGTACACAACTGGCATTGCACAAGGCTTTATCATAATCTATGTTTATATATAGCCTCTTGTTATTTGTGTGTGCAAGTTATAGGTGTGTGATGTATATGACACATATGACCATATATTCATCATACATGTATCAATTTTACAAAACCTTTGATTTGCCTCTACATTCCTAGACTCAGCAGCCAAGGGGAATCTCATAGAGCAGAGAAACCATCGACTGACAAGAAGAAAGATGTTACAAGGCATGGTGTGTCCACTGTGGGAAATATTATTTCTTTGAGTACTGCAAAAGTAATTCATTGTTACTTTGACATCAGATTTTACTTGCAATAAAGAGATTCTCTGAAATCTAGTGCAGACCTGTAATGTTGCCATCAACTCTTCCAGATAGAAACAAATGGTGAACTCATGCTATCTTATAAAGAAAAAAAGTGTATTCTTAGGCATGTATAGAAGACCTTGAACCAAAGGTTAGTTGTGTTGACACATGTTTTAAGAATACCTGCTTTAGTGAATCCATATCGCATACTTAAGAAAAATAATGTGCATTTCCACAGCACTATTAAGACCATACAATTTCTTATAACAGTTGGAGCCTCATGAGCAAGTAAAGGGGCAGGCATCCACAATACATAAGACTTTGGGTGACAATGAGAACGAAGTACTATGCTGAGTAAAATATCGCACAAAGCTAAAATAACCAAACTAAAATGTTTTCTTTTGTACTTTTCTGCACTAGAAACAAAGCAAATACAGCAGTATTCATTTGTTCCATGTAGACACCTCCAAGCATGACAGTATTTTCTCTCTGCCGAATTTAGGATATCATTGCAAGTTTAAACACACACGTGATAGTGTGTCCTATTTTTCATTGTTTCTGGTTGGCACCTGTTTGTTTTTCTTAAAATGTATACATTGTTCTGGCTTCTCAACTGAAAATTTCTTTTTTTCTACTTCACATGTAGATTAGATCGATGTATGTCTTTCTTAGGGTCCTCATTATTGTCTATGTTTTCTAGGATTGTGGTTTTTAGGTTGGCTTTCTTTACATGTTTAAAAACCACTTATGAGTGAGTACAGGTGATAATTGTCTTTCTGTGTCTGGGTTGCCTCATTCAAAATAATGTTTTCTAGCTCCATCCATTTTCATGTAAAATTCAAGATGTCATTATTTTTTCTGCTGTGTAGTACTTCATTGTGTAAATGTACCACGTTTTCCTTATCCATTCTTCAGTCGAGGAGCATTTAGGTTGTTTCCAGGTTCTGGCTATGACAAACAATGCTGCTATGAATATAGTTGAGCACATGTCCTTGTAGAACGGTTGAGCATCCTTTGGATATATACCCAAAAGAGGTTTACTGGGTCTTGAGGAAGATTGTTTACTAATTTTCTATGAAATTGCCACACTGACATCCAAAGGGGTCGTACCAGCTTGCATTCCCACCAGCAATGCAGAAGTGTTCCCTTTCCCCCACAACCTCTCCAGCATAAGTTGTCATCAGTGTTTTTGATCTTGGCCATTCTTACAAGTGCTGTGGGAGTGCCTTTATATATTTTGGAGATCAGACCTCTGTCTGATGTGGGGTTAGTGAAGGACTTTTCCCATCCTGTAGGCTGTCATTTTGTCTTGTTGACCAACCATGTCCTTTGCTTTACAGAAGCTTTTCAGTTTCAGGAGATCCCATTTACTGTTTCTCTCAGTGTCTGCGCTGCTGGGGTTATATTTAGGAAGTGATCTCCTGTGCCAATGCTTTCAAGTGTACTTCCCACTTTCTCTTCTATAAGGTTCAGTGTGGCTGGCTTTATGTTGAGGTCTTTGATCCATTTGGACTTGAGTTTTGTGCATGGTGATAGATATGGGTCTATTTTCATTCTTCTATGTATTAATATCCAGTTATGCCAGCACCATTTGTTAAATATGCTTTCTTTTTTCCATTTGATATGTTTTGCTTCTTTGTCAAAAATCAGGTATTTGAAGGAGTGTGGATTAATATCCAGGTCTTCGATTTGGTTCCATTGTTCCTCCTGTCTGTTTTTATGCCAATATCCCAAGCTGTTTTCAGTATTGTAGCTCTGTAGTAGAGTTTGAAGTCAGGGATTGTGATACCTCCAGAAGTTCTTTTAT